GGGGGGGGGGGGGGGGGGCGGCCGCCCCACCGAGATTTCCGCCACTGTTCCAGCTAGTATATACTACTGGACGTAGTGCTGTAGCGTCTGAATTAGTGGGCTGGCATACCATTATCCATTAATATTGGTGGTTTGCAATCAATCCTTTGAGACTTATAAGACAAAGATATGGCATTGGCGGTCAGTGATGGGCTGATGACCCTGTGACTCGGTTAACATAAGCTAGAGGAAAATACAGTACGCTCCAAACATAATATTTATAGTTACTAACGATATTCTTTTGTTAGCGTTCTTCAACATGGCCGGCTATGGCCAAGAATTTATATATAGGAATGCTGATTGAACAATACTGTAACTACAGTATATTAATGCAGTGATATTGGGACATTTCCACGTACTGACTCATGTCGGAAATATCACGTGCACCGAAACCCAAGAGCCTGGCAGCGAGGTTGACCGAAACCTTCTGTGACCTTGATTTCTGAAAGTTGTCCTTGGATTGCTGGCACTCATGGCGAACCCGGAAACAAATCTGCCGTTTTTAATTGCCTTTAGTTGACATTTTAGATACGTCAAACTTAATTAAATTAAACTAAAGTGTCTTGCAACTTCGCGATCTGAGACTCTTTACTCTTTCAGTTGAAGTTTGAAGTGCTCATGACGTATAAGGGGTCAACCTTATATACTAGAAGTTGATGTTTGTGTTGTTACTCTGAGTGTATATCCACACCGGGCGAGCTTGAAAAATATGCCCGGCCACGGTGGGAATCGAACCTTTGGAATACTACCCCATAGCTCTAGAAGTTACTGTCGCAAGGAAAGTGCTGCCTTACGACCACGGCCCTAGCCGATTGATTATACCAATAAACTTGATTTATCGCTTTATATACACTGTATGTATGAATTTGTTTTGTTTAAAAAAATCGAAATTACAACATGCAATAATTACTAGATACTGTAAAGTGTACTTTGGATATACACTTTCACTATATAGAGGGCCTATAGAGGGTATTACACGGCGGCGCGAAGATCAGTGACTTTTATCTTCGAGTGGTGAAAACAATATTTTACGAACGAGCGCAGCGAGTGAGTAAAATATTGTTTTTAACACGAGTGAAGATATGGAAAATATCTCACTAGTATCACTAGTGAAGATATGGAAAATATCTCACTGTGTATTTTTCAGTATCTCACTCTCTACTATATAATAAATATAATATATTCCTCTCCTACTATTTGTCGAACAGATTTTTTATTAGATGTAATTATTCTAATACCCCGCCCTTTTCGGGTGTAGGGTCTGCGCGCAGACTTGGAGCATGTCTAGGAGCTACTAGGTAAGGAGCTACTAGATCAAAGAAAATCGAGTCTGCGTTGTTGTTCAGTATTCCACGGCATTTTACAGCTAGTGCCAGCCACTGGTGCCAGCTGGCAAACATTCTTTGCACGTGCTGAAAGCATGACGTATACGCATTATCTTCCACTTGATTTGATGACGTAAATCCGTTGTACTTTGTACTCTTGTATATAAAATACGGACATCCGATCTCGTGAATAAGCAAAAAAGTCAACAAAAGACACTTAGACAAGACTCAGAGAAGTTCTTCCATATAAAATGCAGTGAATGAGAACTCAGATAATCGCTGGTGTAAACGCTTAAAGATGGATGTTAACAGATTGAAGAAGACCGAGGACATGCTGGATTTGTCTTGTAAGGGAATTGATGTCTTCCCAACAATTTCACGTTTACGAGTACAGCCCTATATGTTTACCCATCTGTACCTGAGTGGAAATTGTATGAAATTCATAACAGACGATGAAATCAGCTATTTTCCCAACTTGATTACACTGGATCTTTCTTCAAATCTACTAGAATGCCTACCTTGTGGACTGTGTAAGCTTACCAAACTAAAAACGTTGCTTGTCAGAAATAATGTTCTTTGTGAGTTGCCAAAATGTATGAGCTCATCTCAATCGTTAGAAATATTGAATATCAGTGGTAATAAACTAGAACAGTTTCCTGTCCAAGTTCTACAGTTATTGCAGTTAAAACAACTTCATCTAGGAGGAAATCGTATTCACAATATTCCAAAGGAAATCACACAGTTGACAAGGTATAATTACTTGATAATTTGAAGTTTATTTTGAACAGCAACAAAGTACTGATAAATATGTCATAAATTAAATAATTATGTACCCACATTGTTACATGAAGAACTGGCTCTCCTTGGCTATGTCCATGTGATGATTTACCATAAATAATTTCGCTGCAGAGTTGGTCAGAGTTGCCCCCTGGCCTGATCGTATTTCTCCATTTTCGCCCGCCAAAGATTTATGCCAGGAAAATGACAACTTTAGAAAACCCGCCAAAAGCACACAATTTCTTAAATGCACACAGTCTGCCAGCCCGCCAATCTACTGCATTTTAATTTTTTTACGCCCAAAACTCCTTTGTGTCACGCCAACTGGCTATGTTTTCCGCCAAAGATCTTGAGCTGATGGGTATTAGAATCCAATCAGGCCCCCTGGTAAGTGCTTGATATAATGCACGAATCAAATCGAAATGAAACCTTAACACCCCCCACCGGGCATACCCCCGGGAATTTGGATTTTGACGTTTTGGTCAGGTCAAATTCCCTACATATATTTGTAATTCCCATTCAAATACACCACGTATTGGGAAAAATTGGAGTTCAAATGCCCCACCCCATTATGTACGAATTGGAAGCTACAGCATTTCGTAATTTTGGAATTACAAAGCTTTTCTTTCATTCAAAAACTCTCTTCAATCATTCAAAGCCGTTTTCTTTCAGTCAATCAAGGACAACATGGCTAGAAATCTGCGACAACATGGCCGACACGCACGCTTAGCTCCTTTGTAATGTAAATATTAAGTGAATAAGTTTAATAACCAGAAAAGCATTACGTTAACTTGCCTTTTCGGCTTTTGTTGGTCCTACAAACCAAATATGACGATTCCATAAATCGATCTTGAATGATAATCGTCGTAGCTACGTACTTGTTCACGTTTCAGTTCAAAATTCGATGCAGGCTGATCGTACATCAATATTGGATTTCCATAAATCGTAATCGATACACTTTGTTCTCCCCATGAATTTTATCACAATTTTATCTAAAGATATTATATCAATACTGTTCCCAAGTAGAGGAAAGAATGGTATATTTTGCCTCTATTTTCCATTTTTAAATCGCCTTGTTACTTCGCTAAAATGCGATGCAAGCGCATCGAAATTTTGCTTTTTTTCATATTCTTGTTCGTGATTCATATTCTATAAAGTTGAGATAATATCAGCTAGTGACATAAAATATTAAATGTTGGACATAATTATGTCACTGACATGATTTACTTATCATTCAGCCGTTCCGCACGTTGTAACCAATAATTTATTGGCGTTGTAATGTCATTGTATGCAATAAAGTATTGGGTTGTAATGGGTCTACAATTAATCCAAACGTTAATCCTAATCCAAACCCTAACCCCACCTCCTAACCCCTAACCCTCCACCTCCTACCCCACACCCTAACCCTAAAGCCGGCCCGCTACCCCTCCGGGGAAATTATACATTTAAAGAGCGTTTCTTTACGTACTTTCCGGCTTTTCAATATGTTCATTAACATGACGTACTGACGGTGCGTGTGCCTGCATTACAAACCGCTGACTGTCGCAGATTTCTAGCCATGAAGTTAATTCCTTAATTTGCACTTGAACTCATCCATTGATGCAGGCATGGATTTTCTGGGGGGGTGCACCCCCCAGAAATTATTTGCACCCCCCAGAGGCATTTGGCACTGCCCCCAAAAGTTTTTGCACCCCCGCAAATTATATATATATTGATTTGATAGTTTCATATATGATTATTCTTACTACTAAATTTGTAAAATTACCAATATTATGGTCTCAGATCTTGCCATGCAGGCCTAGAAAACAAATTTTGTTAAACTTTTTCCTTGGCCTTTCCGGGCATTGCCACCAGGCCCCGGCCAAAGCAAGCAGCAGCACCCCCTCCCCCAGATATTTATCCACCCCCCGAACGAAAATATGAAAATGGATCCGTCTCTGCATTGATGCCATTCAGCACACATGTTTATAAGAAAAATTCAAATTCCCGACCCCCTTTACAAATTCCCCACCTTCCACTAGAAAAAAAGGTCAAATTCCCACCTGCTTAAAATACTAAACAAGCAATTTCCCCAGGTATGCCCGGGGGGGATGTCAAGGTTTCGATTTGATTCGCGCATAAGGGACGGTTGACAAATAGATTTTGTTCCGCGATGCCTCTGACCCCTTCCCCATTGTGGACAAGTCAAATGTCTTGTTTCACAAAATAAATTTGGCTATTTAGCCATGCACCATATCAAAGATTGGGTTTCAACAGCAAGGTATTGTTTCTAGCATATTCATAATGACTGTATTAATTGTTTACATGATTGGACATCGCGTGAAATATCGTTCTAATTTACAACAATGCAATCAGCATCATCAGCTTTCAGCAACTGAGATATGTTTGCCATTGTTCAGCAGTTCAGTACAAAAATAATATGAAACACATACCTGAATATTAAGAAATGCAAAAATATCCTCCTGAACTCCTGAAGTTTATTTTGAACACGAACAGCATGGAGCAACAATATTCAGCTGTGATCATTATTTCAGCAGTAAACACTGGCCTTGTAACACCATTTTTGTTGGGGTTTTTGCACAGATTGTTGGCGGGTGATGTAGTAAAACGTTAAATCTGTTGTCGTCCCAGTGCCGGCATCATTCCTTGCACAGTGTAACATCTCTCTTGCAACTAGTCTCGCAATGTTTATACACTGAATGGCTTATACACTGAATGGCTAAACCTGACTGTCAATTCTGGTGCCAAAAGTTAGCTCCTTGCAGTGCAATGCTGAAATCGTTGCGAGACAAGTTTACATTGCGAGACAAGTTCCGAGACAAGTTGCTTAGTGTAACAGCGTCTTAACTGTCTGATGTACATGTCCTTCGAAAGTGTTTTGCACCCCTGCCCCTACTGTATGTTTCTAGCTTTTGGTCCCTTTTTTTGGTTTAGTCAGAGAAACTGAATGACAGATTGAAATTTGTTTCATTAAATTCAAATTGCATGCCGTAAAGTACGCCAATACTGTACTTGCATACCGGAGGAATACCAATCAAGATTACGGCTTGTTACTTCTATTTTGTCAGCTATGTACAGTACTACTTAGGTACAAGATACTCTTCATTGTCGGCGTACTTAACTGTTTGCTTGTACCATTTGATCTGTCCAAACCCAATTAGTTATTGACAAGAACATAACTAAGTCATACTATGTGGAAGTCTAGCATGACTGGGCATTAAACATATGATTGGACTGATATGATAACTGATGAGATGGGACTAAGGAATGTTAGAGTCAATCGTAGTGTTAGTAATGTACGTGTGTCCAATTGTGCTCCTTGATCTATAACACTACTAGTTTCATGTTACTGAGTGCGGAATCCCTTTTAGAAACCTGTACGTCTTGTACTTCACTCTAAACACCAAGTACACCTTAAGTCTTAAGTTTCTCCCAGCTCAAATACGAGGCAATAATCATTGGAGTATCAGTCAGGTACCGTACGACTAAAAATTTTGAATTATCGCACCCTGTCAATATGCTATTTAAAATTAATTGTATTGAAGATTTGAAGGTGATTTAACTAAAGCATAGTAATTTTTATATTCAGTTAATTAATGAAAACTTTGATGTTCTCAATATTGGAGACAGTAGGATTGCTGATTACGGCAGACTGGCTTGAGACTGCCAACGTCAAACAGCAAACTACAAAATAATGGTGCTTTGGGTTAACCATTAGCTGTACAAAGTTAGCCGGTGTGATTAATTTTGTGCATTAAAATTGAATTATGAGTTACCTACTTAGCTTTCGAACTGTTATAGAACTTACCTTTTACTTGCAATTTGAGGTTTGCCCTTTGCGGTTGCGGCGCATGGAGTAAACGTCAATCTTCAGGTTACCATTAATTCTTTAAAGGGGGAAAATGTGAAACGGATTGACATCATTGATTAAAGACACAATTAAGCAGCCGTTTACACTACGCTCGATTTTTGACTACCTAAATAGGAAGTCCAAGAACGAAAAAAGTGTGGTACGGGTACCAATTTTATCCGTGCCGTACCAAAAATTGAGCGTAGTATAAACGGGCTACAGTCATGTATATGAGACTGAGGACTAACAACGTAACAATAATTGGCAGATGCAGATTAATTATAATAACCAACTACTTGGTATAATCGCGGCCTTCAAATAATTATTCGGCCTCAGCAATGTTTTTTTCAGTGATTCACTCAGATATGTAGCTCTAAGATCAATACTAATTTATCCATTGGTTGAATTACATTATTTCGAAAATAAATGAGATGTGAGAAGCCAAAAAAATTGGCAGATTTTTACTCATGTACCTATATATAAACATGATAGTCATTCACTCAATCAATAGTGTATTCAAGCTACTCATCACAAAAATAAATGTATGTCAAGGACTTTGCAGGAGAATCCAGAGTTTAGACTTTTTTATTAGGATTCTCTTACCTCCATACACATATCAAATTAAGTTACATAAAATTGAATTCCTGTACATTAAATTAAATTAAAGCGGGTACTTTTGCTTACAAAAATTTTTTCATCAAGGAAACAATGTATGTTGGACAGTGTATAAGGTTGACAAGAGACTTAACAACGCGACGCGATTTTTCGATTTTCACTGACCGATAACTGCATGTGATCCTGTTTAAAAATTTTCCAAATATTTAGAAGCGCTATAACATTTTGAGTTATTTGGTCTACCGGTACATATCTTTCAACATTTTCTCTGATTGGCTGTTTTATTAACTTTCAAAAACTAAAAAATCGCGTCGTGTTGCCGAATCGCGCCCGGTGTGTCTGGACCTCGAATCGACTCCGGTGGACGTTTAGGCAGCAGGGGGCAACCCAGGGTGCAATAATTCAAGATTTTTAGTTGTAGTCTGACTGCATGGTATGTACATGCACGAGTACAAACTCAATTCTCAATGTGTATTTAGTTTTTAAAATAAAGTACATGAATGAATGAATGAATGAAATGTTTATTTAAAACAGGGTACTGAGCTCTGTCTGGTGCAGATTGTACCTGTTATCAATACAGGCCCTGACCTAAATTACAAAGGTTTAAATATTATTTAAAAATATGACCTACTATAGGTATTATAACCATCAATAAAATTTGTAGTTAAAATCTACATTACTCTGGTCAACAAAGTTAAAATGTTATTTAAGATATGGTTTTTTTATAAGTTATAAGCACCATTATAATAAAATTAATTCTTGATTGAGTCGGTTTTCTTTCATGTACCGAGGTGATTATTTTTAATAATCACTTTGAATATTAATTAGCGGAGAAGATGAAGGTAAACTCAGAAAATCGTCGTTCAAAGCAGACGAAACAGACAAAACTTTGTTCGAAAACCTCCTCAATCAATAAATAAATATGATAAACACCTCGAAAGTCGGGAATTATGTCAGATAATGTCCTCGGACGCTGCGCGTCCACTGGTCATTATAAATCCCTCCTTCTCGGTATTTATCCTATACAGAATGCGCTGCTATTTATGTTCTCACCCGTGGTAAGTGTAATTTACCACTTTGCCTAGTAACCTTGTCATATATCTGGTGATTAAATGTAAAATAGTTCTTAAAATACTGTGGACAAATTGTCCCGCCACACATTTCTTCATCAGTATGGTTCCACCTCCTGTCCTCAAACAATGGCCATTTAAGCATCTCCATCGCGTCATTAGGCCTACTTCTTCTTTATTTGGTGATAATTCGTGCAGCACGCCGTTGTAATTTATCTAATAATGTGCTGTTGCAAACTCCGCAGCAACTCCACACCGTGCCACAATATTTCATGATAGGAAGGACACAATACTCCATGATAGGACGGTTTCTGAAAAATATATTCAGACTATGAGTTACACTACAAGAAGCACAATTGCATGCGTATATACAAACAATCGACTCCAACATTTCTTTAAGTCCTATCAATCCATGAAATCATGTGCCAAGACATGTCAGAAACATGCTATATCAACTAAATTGCGGTATTGCATACATTGGACTAGGAAAGTAAGCTACGCAGTTAGCAACTGGCATACCTTCGGACAAATACGCAAATTATCGCACCCTGCATGCAACTGCTCCCCCCCCCCCAAAAAAAAATTCTTTATGCATTTGAATGGCTAAATAATTTTATAAATTATTATAAATATATAAATTAAAGAAATTTGCAGGATTTTTTTCTCTTTTTTTTGGGCGGAGTTATGAAATTGTAAAAGAATGTCTAACCAACTTTAAAAATTTCCAATTCAATTTCATTTTGGTCGGATATTTTTTCCGGATAATTTTTGAACGTTATTATTGCAGACTCTGCAGCATTAATGCCCATACAGACCGGGCGCGATTTGGCAACCCGACGCGAATTTTCAATTTTCAGTGACATTTAACTTTAATGTTTTTCTATGTTTTTCAAATATTCAGAACCACTTAAGCAATTTTAGACTTTTAGCCATTTGGTCTGCATATCTTGTAAAATTTTTATCCGTTTACGGTTTTATTTATTTTTAAAAACTGAAACTGATTCGCGTCGCGTTGTCGAATCGCGTTCGGTCTGTATGGGCCTTTATACATTGCGAGCAGAGGTTTATGACATGCATTAGGATTAACAGGGACGCCGGAACGATAAAAAGGCAAGGGGGGCAAACGCACACCAAAGGGCACCTCTACAGACTCCGGTGAAGATATATATGAAAGCAAACGCACTTAATCATGTCACATTCAAGATCACACCTAATGATTTTGCCCAAAAAGCATCACTGGAAATGTGATTTATCAGGTAGTATTTCATAACTCAAAGGGCACTTCTGCCCTCCTTGGCACTTCTGCCCTCCTTGCCCCTCCTAGCAAAAGGCAAGAGCGGCAGCTGCCCCCCCCCCCCCCCCAGTTCCGGCGTCCCTGAGGATTAATTTCGGAAAAGTACAGTTATTATACCATATACTATAATTATGAATAGTTAGTTGCTACGATTAAAACGCTATGCTTTTATCATTTTCTCTAGTTTGGAATATCTCTATCTTGGTGGAAACAAGTTAACACAATTACCTGTGGAAATGGGCAAGTTGACCAATCTCAAGAGTCTGAATTTGTGTGATAACCAAATTACATTATTACCTAAAGAACTTGCTAAACTACACCAACTTGAGTCTTTGAGTTTACATAACAACAACTTGACTGTGCTGCCAATTGCAATAGTAAAACTGAAAAATCTTCAAGCCATTAGTGTACGTGGGAATCCTTTGGTCATTCGATTTGTCAGATCTCAATCATCAAGCTTGCCTAGCTTACAGGAACTGGCGGGAAAGACGATTAAGAACAACCGTATTCCTTACTCTCGACAAAACCTTCCCGCATTTCTTGTGAAGTACCTTGACAGTGCCAGAAAGTGTGTTAATCCTATGTGCCGTGGTGTGTTCTTTGACTCTTGTGTTCGGCATATAAAGTTTGTTGATTTTTGCGGGAAGTACAGGCTACCATTTGAACAATTCTTGTGTTCTCCTCATGATAACGAACAATGGGAAGATTTAGCAAGTTGTAGCAGTACTAGTAGTGATGATGATGATTCAAATGTTGAACCATCTTGGATGAAGAAAATACTGTTGGGTTAATAGAATTATGCAGAAATAATTCTGTTGGATTAACATAATGAATTATGTACGAACCTAAAATCCCATTATGTCATGTTAAGAAAATGTGATATATTGAGCTGGGACTGGTTGTGCGAAGGCTAGATAGCGCTGTCCACCGGATAGTGATTTTTTCAACCATTGTTAAAATGCCTGCAATGCTATAAAAACCATGGATATGGACATCATTTAACAAAAAGAAGCTTTTCAAACCATTCATTATTTGATGATTAGATAATTGAGTCTATAGACCATAAGCTGTTTATTGCTCTCCCAACTGACAGCTGCACTCATGCTTTCGGGCGGGTCCCTTTCCCTCCACAGAGCTATTCGGTGGGTGAAGTGAACGCGAGTCGAAAGACTGGTCTCCATCCTCCTAAAATTGGTTAGTGCATGCATGGATTCAGATAATAGTCCAGTCAATCTGTGACCAGAGGTCAAAGAAATTGCAATAGAATTCTTTTCAGTGGTAAAATGTGAGCTAGGGAAGGTGTCCTGATTAACATACTAAAAATCCAAAAAAATCCCTTCGGTGGAACATGGTGAAAATCGAATTTTGAAATTCAAATTTTGAAATCATTTTTAGGCAAATGTAACCAACATTATTGGAAAGTTTAGAAAAAACTAAAATATAGATATATTATTAAACGGTTGGTCAGTTTGTCGTTATTCTAGCTCAAAGTTGGAAAAATAGTGCAAAATTTGCACAAAATACAAATTTATGGCATTTTAAATATTGTATAACTTCGGCTGGATAGGCAAAAGCAAGATAACCGTTTAATGATTTATATTTTAGTTTTTTCTAAGCTTTCCAATAATGTAGGTTACATTTGCCTAAAAATGATTTCAAAATTTCAACATTCTGTCCACAATGGTTTTCTATAGGTAGAAGTAAGAAAAACTCGATTTTCACCATGTTCCACCGAAGGGATCTTTGGGGATTTTTAGTATGTTAATCAGAACAACTTTTCTCACACTTTACCACTGAAAACAAATCTATTGCAATTACTTTGATCAGGACCATGTACTTATAGTGATTTGACTGGACTATAAATTAAATCTTACATGACAATACAGTAGCTTCGCATACAAATTACTATAACTTTGCATAATTTTTATTTCGTATACACAAGTAATTGCTGCCGAGCGCCAGCGAGGCAGCACACTATTCTCGACGCCAATCTCGTTCCTCGAGCCTGTGATCCTCGGGAAGGAACGTGAGGCTCTGGGATAATCCGTTTCAGGGTGTAATCTGATTGGCCGTTGAAATGGAATTCGCAGTTCAGTCTTAGCCAAGATTCCTGGCTTCCGGCAACGGATTATCCCAGAGCCTCACGTTCCTTCCCAAGGATCGCAGGCTCGGGGAACGAGATTGTCTCGACGCACGTTGTTTTCGTTACCAGTCCCCGCGCCCCGAGCTTAGTAGTCTTGTATACTTGAATCTCGATATGTCGAGTTGTACGTATTTCCGCATCCAGGTGGGTTACGGAAATTAATGAAGTATCAATGGGAGGTTGTCTATCATCGATATGTACGGACATTGATATAAACACAAAAATATAAACGATATGGTCGTTCATCAATCTTCTTTACTGCATGCGCAGTTTACTATCAATATTGGTAAGAAACAAAATAGACACGACATATTTTGAACAAGACGCCTGCTCAGGCGTGCTGGTGTGTAATAGTAGAACAGTTTGAATAACACTTACAGGTATGATGTTTGTGATGTTACTCTGAGTGTGCATCCACACCGGGCGAGCTGAAAAGTTAATTGCTTGGCCACGGTGGGAATCACACCAACACACACAAATACTTACATGTATATTTATGCCAGGCTAGAGATGGGTAAACAAACAACATATTCTAGTAAACAAACCGAAGGCTATAGAGTGTTTGCACGTGACGTCATAAAAATTCTAAAAGCTTAAGCGAGTTTGACATATATAGTTGCCCATTTTATATATTTTGTATATCCTTACTGCAAGTATTCCTGGCAAATTTCAAGTCGATACAGTAATTCATCCGCAAGTTAAAAGGGTTTGAATAATTTATATTGCTGACGTCAGCATTATTTTGAAAGGCCGTTAAGCTACGCGGCTTTCCAAACCTAAGCTGAAATAGTTCGGTGGGCTTTCAAAAGCTTTATATACTTAACATCAAACACAATTGAGGACCTGTGTGATAAAATATATCTTTCCTTGGGCATTTACTACACGTCCGCCATGTTGATGGTCTGAGATTGCGTATTATAAAATAACATGTATATAACGCGTGCTCTGATTGGCCGAAACCCGTGTTTGGATCAGGCCATCCAAACACGGAAATTTAAAGTGCCTTCGCGGGAATTTTAAACCCTGTTGTTATTTTATAAAACAATTACTTTATGGTTTCCGTGTTTGGATGGCCTGATCCAAACACTTGGGAATGTTGCTCGAGTTAAGAAAAGCGCGCAAAATCACTCGCCTTCGGCTCGTGTTTCGCGCGCTTTTCTTAACTCTCGCAACATTCCCGCGTGTTTGGATCAGGCCATCCAAACACGGAAGCCATAATATAAGACCACCATATAATATAAAATAAGTAATTGTATAATATTGGACCACCAACATGGTGGCCGTGTAGTAAATGCTCAAGAAAAGTTCTATTTTATCATAGTCTTCATCCTGGACAATTCCAGTCTAGATCTTATATTATATATTATATATTATATTATTATATTATATTATATATTATATTATATTATTATATTATTATTATATTATATTATATTATCAGGTTCCACGCAGTATTCCGCCACAAATGCCGGCATTTTGCTGTAAATCCTCAAACTTGCATTGGACAACAACAGGAGCCACAACGAAAAGAGGATCCATTTGCACTCTGCAAGCTAACATCTTGTTTGACTTTAACACGGAAAATTACTTGCGCGAATTTAATTAAAGCTGTGCGAATAAGACTCATCAAGGTGCGCGAATTTATTTAAAAGCTGAGTGAAAATGAGTAAGACGCGAATTTTAATACTGAATGACAATATAGTTTATATAGTTTGGCAGTATAAACTATAGTATATAGTTTTGCAGTTCTGACTGAGTACAATCTTAATCATTACAATGAATGGTGTCATGATCATCCGAAGCTGACATATTAATTAAACAAAAATGTCAACAAATAGATTTTGTCTAAATAGGGGTAGTCTTGAAGGCGGGTGCCAGTAAAGTGATGATTGGGACAAAAACGTACCATGCAAGTATTTCTATATATTATATTATACAATATTCAGTGGCAAGTTAGCCACTGAATATTGTATAAACTGGTCATGCTATGCTAATAAACCTGCATCATTTGAATAATGCAAATAATTAAACATTTGCATAACATGACCTGTTGCTATGGCTAGCTTCGCCACAGACAGTATTAAATTATTCAACATACAAAAGCAAGAAATTATAAGTATTGAAGGTGTTCATATAAAACCACCCATGCCAAGAAAGTAAAATATTTAGCTGACCTTCGACTTTGTGCAATGTGTTTGATATTCAAATTACACTAGTTCCTACCTCCTGAACAGGTGTCTTAGGCGCTGTTTACATGTGTTCGGAAGGCGGGGTGATTTCGATGTATTGAAATAAGTCACTAGGCTAAACGAAAGTTCAAATGCTGGTTAACTCAAATGTCAGTTCAAGAAGATTATTGTTTCTGCTTGGACAACCTTTCGTTTACAGTCAACTATGATCTATTTCTGGAAAATAATGTTGTTTTTTGCTGAATCGTGCACTGTATAAACTTATTTCAATACATCAAAATAATCTCGCCTCAAATCTCGTCCTGGCAAAGCGGGATCATATAAACAGCCCTTATTCAGCAAATTGTGCACGGTGAGGCAGCACTTTCCTTGCGATGGTAACTCCTAGTCTATTTAACAATTAGTCGCCTCAGGCTCAGTGATTACTAACCGGCTTATTAACCGAACGCGAGGTCTTTACAGATCGAGAAATATCATTGGACCGTGGTATTTTTTTATACACCCTGTTAAATTCGATCTCATGAATAAAGATATCTCAGCTCAATTACCTAGCGAAATTAGAAACTTGTTTGACCAATAAATTATCTTCTCGATCAACCCAGGCTAACATACTGTATTTCAACGTTCCCACAGTTAACTCGCGCGTGCGCAGAATTGTGGTGAAAATCCTCTAGTGGAGCCCGGATCTTCAGAAGGCCACTATATATATATAATACTGTAGTTCTCACCACTGTAAATAATTAATTAGTATAGGTAATCATGCGATGGCGAGTACAATTAGGGATTAATAGTACGAGTGATGTTTGGAAATTTTGCCAAAATTGGACGAGCATAATATAATTGGATACGTACTTCTCAATGTCAACATCATATTCTCTCGCCAAAGCCCAGTCCTGCCGGACTTTCAACCAAAATTTGATGCTTTTGTTTGTATTTTCATTTAGTTCTTTTGTTCAAGCAAAATTTAGTACTTTTGTTCGTATTTTCATCTAGTAACTCCACTGCAATTTCATTTCACATTTGTGTTTAAAATACCTTTCCGCCATTTTGTTTGTTTTGAGAAAATCATTAATTGTACTGCTCTCAACCAATCAGCATCCAGTAATTTTGTCATGCTAATAATAAATGCACAAACAGTTGAAGGGATTTGTAGATGGAAATTTCGAGTGGAATTTTTTTATACATGTATTAGACCTAACCAGGAGAAGTTGCGAAAAATGCAACTATCGGCCCTCTGGCAGGAATCGAACCTGCGGCCCTGCGATTCCGGTGCAGCGCTCTAACTGAACTACAGTGAGATAGTTGTTGATCATGAGCATAGATATCTTACATACACTATAGATAGCGCATCTCTTCTACACGCGTAAAAATCATCATGTTGATGCAAGTTGTTCAAAACAGGAGCGAACAATGTTGTGCTGCACCCCGTGAACAATATTGTTAACAAGTTGTTGAACCATCAACATTGTTGCAACTTGTTGACAATCATGTTAACAACTTGCAACAGTACTGATGGTTGAACAACTTGTTAACAATATTGTTCACAGGGTGCAGCACAACATTGTTCACTCCTGTTTTGAACAACGCCGAACAACATGATCAATTTTTACCCGTGTAGTAAAATTGAAGCCAAGAATATTCCAGCGGTTACCCCCATTTGAATAGATGGCGGCCATGTTGGTATTTCCCACTCGCTACTAAACGCTTAAAAAACAGCAATAACTTTCATCATTTGAATAGTTTAAAAATGTATTTGGAATAAGTTTAACTTAATAATGTTTAAGTTCCCTGTTTAAAAAATAGAAAACATACGAATCTTCTCATTTCATGGGAATATCCCGAGTCTGCAATCACGGCTTCAATTTTTGAATTGCAGAATAATTAGATGCACTATCAGCATGAGCTCCACCTTTGAATTTACTATATGAGCAAATTCTTAAACACGTCCGAATTTATCATTATGATAAATTCGCGCCGGCACATTTTGAATTTATCATAATAATAAATTCGCGGCACCTAACACTAACCCTAACCTCAACCCTAACCACTAACCCCTAACTCCTAACTACTAACCCCTAACCCCTAACTTTTTTGAAAATCTAACTTTTTAAACTTTTAAAACTTTTTTAAACTTTTAAAACGTTTTTAAAAACTATTTTTTTGAAAATCTTGATATGGTAAGTAACAAACAATAACTCTATACTGGAAGTTTTTATGTTGTTTAAATCATTATTACGAGTGTTTAGCAAAAAGTTTGAATCAAAATGATTAATTCCTCCTGAGTTACAGCGTCTTGAAAAATAAACGTGCTGACGTCAGCATTATTTCCAAACGCCTTCAGAACTGTGTTATATCATAGATATCTTATATACACTAGATAGTGCATCTAATTATTCTGCAATTCAAAAATTGAAGCCGTGATTGCAGACTCAGGATGTTCCCATGAAATGAGAAGATTAGTATGTTTTCTATTTCTTAAACAGGGAACTTAAATAAAACTATTAAACCTATTCCAAATACATTTTTAAACTATTCAAATGATCGATGAAAGTTATTGTTGTTTTTTAAGCGTTTATTAGCGAGTGGGAACTACCAACATAGCCGCCATCTGTTCAAATGGGGGTAACCGCTGGAATATTCTTGGCTTCAATTTTACTAAACGAGATGCGCTATCTAGTGTATATAAGATATTTATGTGTTATACACACAATTTCGTTAAAATTGAAATGAAATGAAATTGCCCTTGGGGAACTACATGAAAATACGAACAAAAGCACCAAATTTTGCTTTAACAAAAGAACTAAATGAAAATACGGACAAAAGCACCAAATTTTGGTTGAAAATATGGCAGGACTGGGCTTTGGCGAGAGAATATATGATGGTAACATTGAGAAGTATCCAATTTTGTCATGCTAATAATAAACAAGTAATCATGCGATGTTGCTCGTACAATTATGGATTAATAGTACTCG